ACGACCGTGTTTTTTATGCCAAATTTCTGGGAAATAAACAACTATTTGTGTTGTACACAGTGTTTATCCTAAACCTTACAGTATAAAATACAGTACTAACAACATAAAAAGTAAAGTAAAACATGAAATACGAAAATAAAACAATAAAATAAAGTCATTACAAAAATGTTTTGTTGATATTCAGTAGTAAAGTTCGACTTACGACCATTTCGACTTACGACCGGTTTCTCGGAACCGAACTCTGTTGTAAGTCAGTTGGTAGGTGTACAATGATACAAAAAAACACCAAAAAAATGCAAAGAAACACGAAATAGTTTACAGCGAAGCTCAGGCAGGTTGTATTTGTTTGGTCGAGTGCTGAGCTTTGTTCGAATAGGGAGCTGGTCGTATACCGAGGTACAGTGGACCCCCGCATAACGATGGCATCACATAGCGATTATTTCGCATACCGCTTACTTTAATTGCAAAAATTTTGCCTCACATACCGCTTAAAAACCCGCTTACCGATTTTCGTCCGAGACGCGTCCAATGTGCGGCCTGAGCCACGCTCACATGTTCCGCCGGTGGCATTGTTTACCAGCCAGCCTCCGCGGTAACATCCAAGCATACAATCGGAATATTTCGTATTATTACAGTGTTTTCGGTGCTTTTTCTGGAAAATAAGTGACCATGGGCCCCAAGAAAGCTTCTAGTGTCAACCCTACAGCAATAAGGGTGAGAATTACAATAGAGATGAAGAAAAAAATCATTGATAAGTATGAAAGTGGAGTGCATGTCTCCGAGCTGGCCAGGTTGTATAATAAACCCCAATCAACCATCGCTACTATTGGTGGTACAGCTGCTGCTGCTGCTGCACTGTCAGCTGCTGCTGCTGCTGCTGCACTGTCAGCTGCTGCTGCTGCTGTAGCACCGTTGTTGGTGTGGCTTATTGAGAATACCAAGAAATAATTAACCCCAGAGGATTTGCCACCCAGGATAACCCAAAAAAGTCAGTGTCATCGAAGACTGTCTAACTTATTTCCATTGGGGTCCTTAATCTTGTCTCCCAGGATGCAACCCACACAAGTCGACTAACACCCAGGTGAACAGGGAAAAATGCCTGGAACTAGTGCTCATATTGGTGAATTTAAAGCCAGCAAAGGTTGATTTGAGAGATTTAAGAATCGTAGTGGCATACACAGTGTGATAAGGCCTGTTCTGGAAGAAAATGCCAAACAGGACCTACAGTACTCAGGAGGAAAAGGCACTCCCAGGACACAGTGTCTCATCAGTCATTGCTGCATCTTCAATAAAGGTAAGTGTCATTTATTCTTCATTTAGTAGACTAGTACATGCACAATATATACTGTGCATGTACTACTCTACTATTGTGCATGTATCCTTCTCTTTGTGTGTGGGAAAATGTATATTTCATGTGGTAAAATTTTTTTTTTCATACTTTTGGGTGTCTTGCACGGATTAATTTGATTTCCATTATTTCTTATGGGGAAAATTCATTCACATAGCGATTATTTCGCATAACAATTACCCCTCTTGCACGGATTAAAATCGTTAACCAGGGGTCCACTGTATATTGTAATAAACAAAATAGAAGAAATCAGCTGTAGTATACATTATTTAGGTATGTATACTGGTCAGAGCCCATCGTAAGCAAGTAGTCGGTAAATGAGGAGAGGCTGTATTAATAATGCACTAACTACTACATCAAACAATGTATAAAATTATACAGCACATGGAAACTGTAAAAATGATTGCTAAATGAAAAACAGATACTGCACAGTATATGAAAATTTAACTGCCCCTTACCTGTCAGAAGAGAGCTAATGTTCCTCTTCTTTGTTTTTTTCACCGTTAACATCTTGTTCTGGCTCACTGGTTGTCTCACTAGAAACCTGTTCAGTCTAAACCGAGACATTACACTGTCATTGTACATATTAGAGACGGGCGGCCATTGCTTTGTCTGGATGATATTTTTCCATAAGCACATGACCTGAGCTGCTTTGTCCCGTTCCATACACATGACAACTTGTCCAACAACCAGATCATTTTTTTCATGAACACCTCATTTGAAAACAGATTTATTCAACAAGTAATGCAATTAACAACCGAAGTCCGACTGTATTATTATTATAATCAAGGGGGAAGCGCTAAACCCGTAGGATTATACAGCGCCCAGGGGAGGGGGGATGTGGAAGGCATTCAGGCTTAATTCAGGGAACTGGAGCACAGATCCAATTCCCTAAATCAAGAGCCCCTCACCAACATCAAGGAACCTTCCATGAGGATGGTCTGACTGTAGATGCCTTTCTTTCTCTTCACACTGTCAAATGCTTCAAACTTCAAAACACTCATGACTTAACCTTTTCTTTATTTCCTCCTCTACTTACCTTTTTCCTATATTTTCTTTGCCTTTCCTTTCTTCTGCCTAAGTGTGTTCCATCCTATGAGGTTTTTTTTTCCTGTGTTTTTGATCCCACCCTTGAGGGCCATTAGCTCTCCTGCAGTGTTCCTCTTCTTTTTTCTCTTGTTCTTAGACTACCTCCACTACTACTACTACGCACTATTTCCTTGCCGCACTCCACTCTGTTGTGTCACTACCACTATGCCTTATTATAACCTCTGCCACTATTGCACTAGTTACTACTACATTTACTACCACTGCCTTATTATAACCTCTGCCACTATTGCACTAGTTACTACTACATTTACTACCACTATGCCTTATTATAACCTCTGCCACTATTGCACTAGTTACTACTACAATTACTACCACTACTACTACCACCACCTCTTGTTCTCCCAGCCCTGACCCCCATCTTGTGTATATAATGGCTCGCTTCCCTCCATACTTCTGTGTCACTAGTTAATGATGCAAGTCGGACCGAAATTTCGTTATGTGCCAGTTATTTGTGTATTGTTTCAGATAAAGCAGCATATTTTGTGTACCCCTCACGGGAGGTTCCTTGATGCTGGTGAGGAGCTCTTGATCTAGGGAATTGGATCTGTGCTTCAGTTCCCTGAATTGAGCCTGAATACCTTCTATTCCCCCCACATGTGCTATATAATCTTACAGGTTTAGTGCTCCCCCATAATATTTGTGCATTTTTTAAATAAAAATGGTATTAATGTTACTTCAGCCCCATATCACCCGTCTTACAATGATTTGGCCGAGAGGACACTGAGAACTTTGCAAGAACGGTTACAGAGGTTTCTAGATAGAATAAAAAGCTGTTTATTCCTCTACAGGCAAGACTCCAGCTGAAATAATGTTTAAAGGGAAGTTTAGAGTTATCGTGGCATCAATCAGACTTGAATCTCTGGAAGATAATTTGTTTAGTACAATGAGGACCTTAGAGAGAGGCACCTCTCCACTGCCTCCACCAAAAATGAAAATAGTGATAATGAAACTTGTTAATAAATACAATCTTTATTTCAGTAACAACATCTGATATAACAACAGTTAGATAAGTTGCTAATACTAACTTACCTTGTGTTACCCCATGCCCTCACAAAGAGGCTTCTGGGCACCAAGGAAGCCAGGAAAGCAATAACAAATGTTCTCCAAGGAGGTTGTCTCCATGCTGCTGGAGAACTGCTTATCCAAGACACTGGTACTATCCTCCCCTTCCTCAGATCAAGCTTGACTGTCTCCCATTTTCCAGGCGCTGTAAATAACTCCTATGAATCTAGCACTTCCTTGTGAATACGTATAATAACAAATATGACAAAAACCATCAGACTGAGTGAATCATGAACACTAGGAGGAGGCAACTTCAAAGGAAAATCAACAGACTACTCAGAGGACTTGATAGTGTGGACAGAGACTGTTCGAGAGGTGGGAAACAAGCATACAAGGGAACGGATAGAAGTTCGAGACGAGTCATAAGGTTGTCAGGAATTGTTTCTTTACCCTTAAGGGTGGTCGAGGAGCGGGATGATAGTAGTGAAGGTAGGCTCCATACATAGTTCTAAGAATAGGTATGGCTGGGTCCATGAGGCTAGGAGTAAATCTAGAAAGTAAAGAGGCAGGGTCAGGAGCTGCGACAACCACTGGTAGGACAGTACACACCAGGCAAGACAGGCACAAAAGTCACAATTTCATTTTAACATAACTATTATTAGTAAAACCAGATTGATGAAATGCTCTTGATCCAGGGAATTTGAGCTATTCTCCTCTTCGATCATATCCGATTGAGTCTTATTTCCCCAAGGGATGTATGATCCGTTCATGTTTATTGCTTCCTCGTGAAAAGCAATAAGCCCTTATTTATCTCTATGCCCTGTAACTTCCGTGGTTTATACCCTGAGACATCCATGGTTTATACCCTGCGACTTCCGTGGTTTATACCCTGCGACTTCCGTGGTTTATACCCTGCGACTTCCGTGGTTTATACCCTGCGACTTCCGTGGTTTATACCCTGCGACTTCCGTGGTTTCTTGGATGAAGTATACCCAGAGTGCGTAGAAGTTCCAAATGAATGTTTACATTCAAAGTATCGAGTTTCATGGAAGCAGTGTCGACATTTTCAAGAAATTCGGAAGCAGAAAGGAAGTGGGAAGCATCATGAGACCTGAGCAACAAACACTTAGATCTTGCAGTTCCAGAGGAAAGCCAAGACATGGAGAGATTGACAAAACTGGATGCCTACTAGGAAGGGCCTTACTCCAGCAAAAGAGAACCATTCTCCCTTTCTTGAAATCAAACCACATTGTAATAACGCAGCCGAGTCCTTGAAGAATTGTATAATGCCCGACAACTCAAGATTCGACGAGTATGTCGTATTTCACAAGTAGTGGAGAACCCACGGGTTGAGAGGAGCTAGTAAACCACATCACAAGTATAGAATATGTGGGTTGAGAGGAGCTAGTAAATCACATAACAAGTGGAAGATAACTTGTGGATTGAGAGGAGCAAGTAAACCACAAGTATAGAATATGTGGGTTGAGAGGAGCAAGTAAATCACGTCACAAGTGAAAGATAACATGTGGATTGAGAGGAGTAAGTGAGCTTCAGTGATGGACACATCCATGTTGTGGTCTATATACAGCCGCTCCTGGGGACAGCTCTGGGCCAGTTGCAGATCTTTTTGGCCATGTCCCACACAGTACCAGGATTGCACGATAACTCTATAGGCTCTCCACGTACACACCAGTAGTACTGTCAAGACAAAAAAAAAGTGTTATGGTGCCAAGTGCTGTAGAGTACCCATACACACAAAAATAGTTTAAAACATTTTTAAAATTAATCCGGCTTTACTGTATGTTTTTGTATTGTAAACAGATGTTATTCTTCTGGTAATTACTTAATTAGAAAACATTAAGCCCATCATACATTGCAAATCAGATTTCTTAAAACTTCAAACATTATTGCTACATTTTACCATCTTTACAAAATGAAACTGACGCTACATAAAGTTTAATAAAGTCTGATATAGTGAAATGGGGTTCTTATCCTTATTAATACGTATTAACAAACTATATACAAAAAGTCGAGCTAATGCTCAGTAAGTCCTTAGTTTACCTGGAGAGGGTTTCGAGAGCCAACGTCCCAGCGGCCCGGTCCGAGACCGGGTCTCGTGGTGGATGAGGGCCTGATCAATCAGACTTTCTGCCGACTGCATGTAAACTGATGTACGAACCACAGCCCGGTTGGTCAGGTACTGACTTTAGGTGCCTGTCCATCGCCTTCTTGAAGACAGTCAGGAGTCTATTGGTAATCCCTCTTATATATGCTGGGAGGCAGGTAAACATTCTTGGGCCCCTGGCACTTATTGTGTTGTCTCTTATAGTGACAGTGGCACCCCTACTTCTCATTGGGGGGATGTTACATCTCCTGCCGAGTCTTGCTTTCATAGGGGGTGATTTTCGTGTGCAAATTTGGCACTAATCCCTCTAGGAATTTCCAAGTGTATATAATCACTTATCTCTCCCTCTCTTCAGCTCTAAATTTACATCTGCCAACCCAGACACAACATATGATGTTCTCATTTATGTTTTTCATGTCAAGGCCTGACTGGGACCCCGGGGCCCCTGGGCCTGGCTGGCAAAGCTCTCACTTCACATGCTGAGGGTCCAGGTTCGATTCCCGGCGGGGTGAAAACATTGATGCGTTTCCTTACACCTGCTGTTCTGTTCATCTAGCAAGTAGGTACCTGGGTGTTAGTTAACTTGTGTGGGTGGCATCCTGGGGGACAAGATTGAGGACCACAATGGAAATAAGACTGACAGTCCCTCGATGACGCACTGACTTTCTTGGGTTATCCTGGGTGGTTTAACTCTCCGGAGTTAAAGTTCAGGACAAAGTCTTATCTTTTAAGGCTTATGTATTATTGTGTGGTTGACAGCACGGCGGGTTCGAATTTCCGTGACATTGTTACATTCACGGGACTGCGAAATATCCATGCGTAAGAAATAGCTAACGTCAAACTAAAGTTAAAGGAATCTTACAAGAGCCAAGATATGTGGGAAGAACTAAAACCTATAAATGAAACTGATGAAAGCTCAAAATATTTCTTTTCTTATGCCAAACCAAAGTCGAGAGCAACATCCAGTATTGGGGTCCTACTTAAACAAGATGGGTCCTACACAGATGACAGCAAGGAAATCAGTGAGCTACTCAAGTCCCGGTATGACTCGGTTTTTTAGTGAGCCGCTAACCAGAGCCGTTGACCTAAATGAATTTAATATGAGCACAGAATTTGGTAGACTAGAACCTATCTGGTTCTAGTCTACCAAAGTCTACCTAGTCGCCTTTTCGGAGTCGCCATGCGACTCCGAAAAGGCAATAAATAGCATGCCCATGCCCAGACTCGTGGAACTCTGTGTTCATCAAAAACTGCAAAAACCCCTATTATGTGCTTTTAACATCCTATGAAGAGGGAGCATGGACACAGGGGTCGTCCCACAGCTGCTATAAACAAAAGACAATAAAGCAATAGCAATGAACTACAGACCAATACTGCTAACGTCCCATGTCAAAAATGTTTGAAAGGGTTCTAAGAAGCAAGATTGCCACCCGTCTAGATACTCATTAGTTACACAGTCCATGGCAACACGGGTTTACAGCAGGTCGCTCCTATCTGTCCCAACTACTGGACCACTATGGCAAGGTCCTTGATGCTCTAGAAGACAAACAAAACACAGATGTAGAATACACAGACTTTGCAAAAGCCTTTGACAAGTGTGACCATGGTGTAATAGTGCACAAAATGCGTGATAATGGAACAACTGGAAAAGTTGGTAAATTGATCTATATTTTAAATAGAACACATAGTAGTAGTAAACCGAGGCGGCTATGGTGAAAAGCTTTGTTTCACAAGGGACAGGACTCTCTCCCATCCTGTTCTTCATCCTCATATTACAGAGATATAAGCCACAGCACCGTGTCTTCCTTTGCTGATGACACCCGAATTTGCATGACAGTGTCCTCCATTGAAGACACCAAGACTCCAGGCGGACATCAACCAAATCTTTAAATGGGCTGCAGAAAACAATGTGAAGCTCAATGATGAGAATTTTCAATTACTCCGATATGGAAAACGTGTGGAAATAAAACTATTGGATTACAAAACAAATTCCAACCATGCAATAGAGCGAAAAACTAATGTAAAACACCTGTGAGTGATAATATCAGAGGGTATCACCTTCAAGGACCATAACCTAGCCATGTTAAGCGTTCTAGTGGTACACTCTGTAATCACAATTTTACTACATGTAAACCAAACAATAACCAAATTTCTGTAAACTCAGCATTGTAATCCTTATTGAGAATAAACTTTGAATTGAATTGAACATTGTATCAATCGCATCTGCCAGAAAAATGACAGGATGGATAATAAGAACCTTCAAAACTAGGGATGCCAAGCCCATGATGACACTCTTCAGGTCGCTTGTTCTATCTAGGCTGGAATATTGATGCACACTAACAGCACCTTTCAAGGCAGGTGAAATTGCTGACCTAGAAAATGTACAGACAACCTTCATGGCGCATGTAACTGTAATTACACACCTAAATTACTGGGAACACTTGAAGTTCCTCAACCTGTACTCCCTAGAACACAGGCGGGAGAGACGAATGATTATATACACTTTAGAAAATCCTAGAAGGATTAGTACCAAACTAGCACACAAAAATTATTCCTTATGAAAGCAAAAAGACTCGGCAGACGATGCAACATCCCCCCAATGTAAAGCAGGTGTGCCATTAGCACGATAAGAGAACACAGTGTCAGGGGCCCCAAGACTTCAACTGCCTTCCAGCATACATAAGGGGGGATTGCCAGTAGACCCCTGGTTGTCTTCAAGAAGGTGCTGGATAGGCACCTAAAGTCAGTACCTGGCCAGCCGGGCTGTGGTTTGAACATTGGGTTGCGTGCAGCAAACAGTTACAGCCTGGTTGATCAGGCCCTGATCCACCGTGAAGCCTGGTCACAGACCAGTGTGATGTAGTCCACTATGCTTGGGAGGTCGCTAAGGGAGTCCTAATTTAACCAATTAAATGGTCACACCTTGCCTTGGCAAATAGCTGTCAGACGCACCTTTCAGCTTAAATCCGAGGTCTTTTGTTCTTGACGGCATCAGATCAAGAGACTTCAGCCGAAAGGTGTATCTGGCACCTATTTGCCAAGGCAAGATGTGACCATTTAATTGGTAAAATTAGGACTCCCTTAGCGACCTCCTAACCATAGTGTACTACATGACACTGGGCCATGAGGACATTGACCCCCGAAGCCCTCTCCAGGTATACTCCAGTAATTATAGGCAATGATTTTGTGATATAAATATATGTTTGAGCATATATCACAAGCAAATTTTGCCCAGGAGACAAACCTAGTTAATATCAGACATATGTGAACAAACTGGATACTAAACTTTAGTGACTTGACCTACTGTCCGAATGTAGTAAATCAAGTAATACTTTAAATTCATTGTATCCAGGGTTGTAAACCCACAGGTGAATATTACAATGTAATACTGTGTAGAGTGATATACTAAGTAGCACACAATGGTGCTTAACCTAACTTGATGAGAGGTACGCACATCGTCCATAGTAAAACACGATAAGCCTCACCTTATTACAATATTTGTGAGGGAGGTACTCTTGCAGTGCACAGTTGCGGAGCGGAGAGGTACCCGGAGGCTGGGCATCCAGTGGTACATCTGCAGGAGGCTGGGGCACTGGAGGGTCTGTTGGAGGTTGTGGTGGAGCGATCTCGATGGGCTGGGGAGGTGTCCACGACGGCGCAGTTGTCGTTGTGGTCGTCGTCGTTGTGGTCGTCGTCGTTGTGGTCGGTGTGGTGGATGAAGGATCCCAGGGTGCCCACCAGGTGACCTTGGGTGTGGTGGTGGTCGGGTCGGGTGTGGGCACTACGTAGTCCTTCATGTGTTGGTGGAGCACAGTGATGAGTGGGTTCACAGAGCCACATATGCCATGAAAATCGTCCATGTCGATAGCCCAGGTCATGGCGCCTCCGTAGCCGTTAGAGATGATAAACTCCATTTTGATCCTGAGGCTGTCTTCATCCTCGTAGCCCACCCACTGGTCATCTGTTGACACCAGGAGAAAATTATCAACCTGTCAAGTTGCTACTAGGGTTATCATAAACAATCTCCAATACAACAGCACATTATACAACTAGATAAAAGCTACAGTATATAAAAATGTAGAATCAAACAAGATTTCCCGATCAACGAAGCAATTTCCGGGATCCATCAGTGTAAACGTGTGAACAATCCTCGTTTGATATGAGTTGTCTATATGTGAATTCACTATCATACGATGACCTAATTTTACCAAATAACTCCATATGGATTGTATTAACAAGCGCTTATACGACCAGAGACCTGTTGGTATAGTTTTTTTTATAGTTTACTGTGAAAGGTATATACGCAGGTGTACATCTCACTGTGTAACAAAGGAATAAGGTATATAATTCCATTACTAAGGCTTAAAATATGCGTGACTGATGACGTACAGATATGCAGCTGAAATTGCCATAAATAACCAGCCATAACTTGCATTCTTAAAAGAAGGAAATAGAAAAGGATATGGATAAGAAATGATGGAAGGAAAAGGAGATTAAAGACAAAAGGAAGAAACAGGAGGATAAATGAAGGTAGATACAGAAGTCGGTGTCCCCAGCCTTTAGTGTCTTCGAAATTACAAGGATAAATAGAAGGTATAGGTAGTAGGTTGGTAGACAGCAACCACCCAGGGAAGTACTACCGTCCTGCCAGATGACTGTGAAACAGAAACCTGTAACTGTTTTGCATGATGGTAGGATTGCTGGTTTCTTTTTCTGTCTCATAAACACGCTAGATAACAGGGATATCTTGCTACTCCTACTTACACTTTGGTCACACTTCACAGACACGCACATGCATATATATATATATATATATATACATCTAGGTTTTTCTCCTTTTTTTAAATAGCTCTTGTTCTTCTTTATTTCTTCTATTGTCCATGGGGAAGTGGAAAAGAATCTTTCCTCCGTAAGCCATGCGTGTCGTATGAGGCGACTAAAATGCCGGGAGCAATGGGCTAGTAACCCCTTCTCCTGTATACATTTACTAAAAAAGAGAAGAAGAAAAACTTTATAAAAAAAACTGGGTTGCTTAAATGTGCGTGGATGTAGTGAGGATGACAAGAAACATTGATTTATGTTGTTATGAATGAAAAAGACAGTTGATGTCTGGGCCCTAAGCGAAAACAATCTGAAGGGGGTAGGGGAGTTTCAGTGGGGGAAATAAATGGGATTAAATCTGGCGATTGAGAGAGTTTAGAAGCAAAGGAAAGGGGTAGCAGTAATGTTAAATGTCAGTTATGGAAGGAGAAATGAGAATAATGAATGTGTTAAATTCAAGGAATTATGTGGATAAAGTAAGGTTGGATGCGAGAAGTGGTTATAATAGGTGTATGCACAGGAGAAGCAGAGGAATGCAGAGGAGAGATGAGAGGATTTTGGGAGATGTTAAGTGAATGTATTGGAGCCTTTGAACCAAGTGAGAGAGTAAATTGTGGTCGGGACCGAATGCTAAACGTAGGAGAAAACTTTTCGAGAGGGGTGAGGTAGGTAAGTTATGGGGTGCCGGTTGTAATGCTTAATGGGGAGCCCTTTGATTGAACTTTGACAGAAAGGGCGTAAATGGACAGTAGTTTGTTGGATTATGTATTGGTTGATAAAAGACTTGATTAGACTTCAGGTTGTGCATGTTTATAGAGGGGACCATCAGATTATAAGATTTCACTTTCTAGTTGTAGCTAACTGAGAGTAAAAGGTAGATGGGTTCAAGTGAGAATAGAAGCATCAGGGAAGAGAGGAGTTGAGGTTTATAAACTAAAAGAGGAGGCAGTTAGGGTAAGTTATAACAGCTATTGGAGGGATAGATGGGCTAATGAGAGCATAGGCAATGCTGGGTCGAAGAGGTACTTGGGTAGGTTTAAAAAAGGTTAGTGTTAGAGTGTTCAGCAGAAGTTTGTGGTTACAGGAATGTGGGTGCGGGAGGGGAAGAGAGCGATTTGTGGAATGATGATGTAATGAGAGTAGTAAGGGAGAAAAAGTTGGCATATGAAGAAGTTTTTCAAAGTAGAAGTTACACAGTTACACCAACCCAGGGCAACATGGGTTAAGAACCAGGTCCTCATGTCTGTCTCAACTACTGGATCCACTTCGACAAGGTCCTAAATGCATAGAAGACAAAAAGAATGACAGAGGTAATTATACAGACTTTGCAAAAGCCTTCGACAAGTGTGACCATGGCGTAATAGCGCACAAAATGCGCGCTAGGATAACAGGAAAGTTGGTCGATGGATCTATAATTTCTCACAAACAGAACCACAGAGGAGTAGTCGTCAACAGAGTAAGTCCGAGGCAGCTACGGTGAAAAGCCTGTTCCACAAGGCACAGTACTAGCTCTCATCTTGTTCTCATCCTCTATACGACATAGGACAAGGATGGTCGCCACAGCACCGTGTCTTCCTTTGCTGATGACACCCGAATCTGATGGACAGTGTCTTCCTTTGCAGGGACACTGCAAGGCTCCAGGCGGACATCAACCAATCTTTCAGGTGGGCTGCAGAAAAACAATATGAAGTTCAACGATGAGAAAATTTCAATACTCAGATATGATAAACATGAGGAAATTAATCTCTCATCAGAGTACAAAACAAATTCTTGGCCACTAAAAATAGAGCGAAAACCACCAACGTTCAAAGACCTGGGAGTGATTATGTCGGAGGATCTCACCTTCAAGGACCATACATTGTATCAATCGCATCTGCTAGAAAAATGACAGGATGGATAATGAGAACCTTCAAAACTAGGGGAGGCCAAGCCCATGATACCACTCTTCGTGCACTTGTTCTACTAGGCTGGAATATTGCTGCACTCTAAAAGCACCTTTCAAAGGCAGGTGAAATTGCCGAACCTAGAAAGGTACAGAGAACTTTCACGAGCGCGCATAACGGAGATAAAACACCTCAATTACTGGGAGCGCTTGAGGTTTCTAAACCTGTATTCCCTGGAACGCAGGAGGGAAGGAGATACATGATTATATACACTGGAAAATCTAGAGGACTAGTCCGAACTTGCACACGAAATAATCACTCATACGAAAGCAAAAGACTTGCAGACGATGCACATCCCACCAATGAAAAGAAGGGGTGTCTCTAGACACGTTAAGAGGACCATACAATAAGCTGTCAGGAGACCGAGACTGATTCAACTGCCTCCCAGCACACATAAGGGGGATTACAACGACCCATGGCAGTCTTCCAAGCTGCTCTGGGACAAGCACCTAAGTCGTTCCTGATCAGCCGGGCTGTGGCTGTACGTTGGTTTGCGTGCAGCCAAGCAGCAACAGCCTGGTTGATCAGGCGTGAATCCACCAGGAGCGCCAGGTCACAGACCGGGCCGCGGGGGCGTTGCCCCGAAACTCTCTCCAGGTAAACTCCAGATGTAGGAGGGAAGAGTATAGGAGAAAAAAGAGAGAGGTTAAGAGAGTGGTGAAGCAATGTAAAAAGAGAGCAAATGAGAGATGTGGGTGAGATGTTATCAACAAATTTTGTTGAAATAAGAAAAATGTTTTGGGTGAGATTAAAAGTTTAGAAAGCCTAGAGAACAAATGATTATGCCAGTTAAAAACTAGGAGACGAGAGTTATTAAATGGAGAGTTAGAGGTATTGGGAAGGATGGAGGGAATATTTTGAGGAATTGTTAAATGTTGATGAAGATAGGAAGCTGTGATTTCGTGTATTGGACAAGGAGGAATAACATTCTTGTGGAGTGAGGAAGAGCCTTTTGTGTGTGGGCGGATGTTCCGTGAGAAGTAGGTAAAATGGAAAGGGGCGTAAGGCAGCCGGTTTGATGGGATAAAGATAGGGAAATGTTAAAAAAGAGGTTGGGGATATAGTTTTGGAGTGGTTGGTGCAATTATTTAATAAATGTATGGAAGAGGGTAAGGTACCTAGGATTGGCAGAGAGCATGAATAGTTCCTTTGTAATAAGGCAAAGGAGGATAAAAGAGAGTGCAAAAACTTATTAGGGGATAAGTCTGTTGAGCATACTGGTAAATGTGTATGTTGGGTTATAATTGAAAGAATTAGAGCAAGACTGGAGGAATAGCGCATAGCAGATGAACAAGGAGGCTTTAGGAATGGTAGGGGGTGTGGGACCAGGTGTTTACAGTTGAAACATATAAGTGAACAGTATTTAGATAAAGGTAAAGAGGTCTTTGTGCATTTATGGATTTGGAAAAGGGCGTATGACAGGGTGGTTAGGGGGGCAATGTGCAGATGTTGCAGGTGTATGGTGTAGGAGGTAGGTTACTGAAAGCAGTGAAGAGTTTTTACAGGATAGTGAGGCTCAAGTTAGTGTATGTAGGAAAGAGGGAAATATTTCACAAGTATAAGTAGGGCTTAGACAAGGATGTGTGATGTCACGTGGTTGTTAATATAATTATATATGGGGTTGTAAGAGAAGTAAATGCGAGGGTTCTTGGCAAGAGGGCGTGGAGTTAAAAGATAAAGATCACACACAAAGTGGGAGTTGTCACAGCTGATCTTTGCTGATGAACACTGTTCCTCTTGGGAGATTTGAAGAGAAGTTGCAGAGATTGGTGGATGAAGTTGGTAGGGTGTGCAAAAGAGAAAATTTAAGGTTGAATACAGGAAGAGTAAGGTTATGAGGATAACACAAAAAGATTAGATGATGAAAGATTGAATATCAGATTGGTGGGAGAGAGTGTGGAGGAGGTAAATGTATTCAGATATTTGGGAGTGGACGTGTCAGCGATGGGTTATGAAAGATGAGGTGAATCCATAGAACTGATGAGGGGAGAAAGAGTGAGTGGTGCACTTAGGTAGTTCTGTGGAGACAAAGAAAAAACCTTTTTGGTTTTTTTTATTTTCCCTTGGGAGGCAAAAGAGGGGCAATGTATGAGAGTATTGTTTTACCACGCTCTTATATGGGGATTGAAGCAGGGTTGATGCAATGTTGCGCGTGGAGAAGGCTGGAGGCAGTGGAGTTGTCATGTCTGAGGTCAAT